TCTCTCTCTCTCTCTCTCTCTCTCTCTCTCTCTCTCTCTCTCTCTCACTTTTGAAGTAAACATTCACATTTGTGAGAAATTGGTCCTGAACAAATATGTCGTAGCTAGTTAAATTTTGACACCATGTTAATTAAGGCTTCTGGAATAATTTAGAAGGCAGCGGAAGCCCACAGAAAGAGAGAGAGGTGTGATTTTAGCACATTAGTAAACCTGATCATTGCAGTACTAAAATCCATATAAGAGGAAGTTATTTTTGAGTTAAAAAAAAAGATAAACGTAAGATTTATTGTGTTACTGTTAAAATGCTTTTGTCTATAAAACTGTTAATGGCTTGTTCTGTGTCCCTTCAGTGAGATTCCTGCGGATCAAGGCTGGATCCTTGATGGGTTTCCAATGACTTTAAACCAAGCACAGCTCCTGGAGGAAGCTCTCACTGGTCGCAATAGAAACCTCATAGAGATGGAGGCAAAGAAAACACAAGCATCCACATTGGCTGTGGATCCTACAGCAACAAAAGAAATACCTCCTCCCTCTTCTGCGTTGGATTTTGTCCTGTTACTGGATATTTCAGATACTTGCCTACTGAATCGCATGAATAATATCATGGGTAAGCTCTTGGTTACATCAAAACTATTTTTCCTTGATGGGATCAGTGAATATTTCTGTTTACAATTGTAAAAGAAAATCGATTTCAGCCTTTCAGTGAATTACCTAGCTGGACACATTGCTTACTGCTTCACACTGGTAGCTCCGGCCAAAGAGATCCCTTTTGAGACTCCTTTATGACTATCTGTGCTTCTTCGTGAGTTATCCTGGTAAAAACCATAACCCATGTCTGTGCTATATGCAGAAATTTAGTAGTATCCTCTCTTGGACTGTGTATTAAGTTAGAAGCAGATATATAATTTGGCTGAAGTCCTCACAGAGTGGAATTGAATTTTTTGCCAAAATTTATGGTTTATTTAACTTTTCTCTCTTTAAAACAAAAATATTACTCCTTGCAAAGTAAATATTTATGGATAAAATTACATATTCTTGAAACTTAACTTTTCTACTTATGTTTGTATTTGAACTTGGGAATTATTTACTTACGTATTTCATATATTTGGTATAGGATCTCACTACACAGCTTGGACTTCTAGCGATCTTCCTATTTTCAGCCTCCCCAGCACTGGGATTACAGGCATGCACAACCATGCCTGGACTCAGTTGCCAGCTCAGTGCACCCAGGGGCAGTGCTGGCACAGCATGTGGTGCCAGGGATAGAACCCCAGTCCTTGCACTTGCGTAAGCAGGTGCTTAGTTCACTGAGCTATCTTGCTGACCCTGAGCTTGGGAATTTTTTAGATAAGAATTTGCCTTGTGGCCCAGAATTGATTCAAATTCTTGGGCTCAAGAAATCATCTGATGTCAACCTATTGTTTTAAACCTCAGTTTCATAGCATACATAATAGAATGGCCCATTTAGCTGCTATACATGTTAAATGAAATTAGAGTTGAACATGACAGGATTGTATCTGACACATGATAAACCCACAGTGTATTCATCAGGAAACAATGTGGAGACTGTGAAATGAGCAGAATATTCCTGGATATCCTCTCAGAAAACAACTTGTATTTTCTACTAGACATCTGCAGGCATCTGATTCTATTGGGCTCTATGCCTTTACTGAATTTGGCTTATCTGCTCTATAATTCCACAAATTCTAGTAAATTGATAATCATCAAATACTTCTTGTCTAAAGAAACATAAAATGAACTTTTGTCCAATTGAGGCAATTTCTACACCATAGAAAACAAAGTATTTCGAATATCACAATACTCTGTGGAAAATAATCAATTTTTCATATATTAGTATCGGTTACAGCACTGCTGTAATGTCAATGTTTCTATTGTGGAAATTCTCACTTGGCTTTGTTGTACCATGTTACCAGTTCCCTCATTAATTGAAGTATTAAATGGTGTCTTTGCTCATTTTACAATTGCTTGAGTGTCTTTTAGAGTTTTAAAAATGCTACCCTTTAAGAATAACATTCATACTTTTTATTTTACAGCTGTTACTACTAATGCAATATTCAGAGCTAAGAGAGCATCTAGTCCAATGCTTTATTTATAGATTGAGATGCTTGGCTTAAAACAAAGTGCTGGACTTATCAAGGACCCACCAGTCTCATTTTGAGTTTGCATGATCAGAATCTTGTTTTCAATATTTGTTTAAATAAAATGCTAGGATGTTTAGTTATTACCTCAGCTGTTGAGCCTAGAAGTTTAAGCTAGATGTTGTCCATCATATTAAAAATAAGGGGGCTAGGGAGATAGTTCAGTAGAATAAGCACTGGCCTGGCAAGCGCAGGGGCCTGAGTTCAATCCCCAGTTCTGAAAAAAAAAAGGGGGGGGGAGAAGTTATTTCTCTCTGTAAAAGGAAGTAGGGGTCATGTTGATGATAATAATGATTCTGGTGATTCTTCTAATTTCTTGTTCATGTTTAGAGAGTAGCTGAGGATTGGCCAAGAGTATTGCCAATCTAAGGCCATCTTAGAAAACAGATCAGTCACATGACAAGTTGCTTTAGTGTACACACAGACATTTAAGTGAAAAAGATGTTTAAAACCTACCATACCTTTACAAAAGCCTTAGGAAATTTGCTCAAGGTTTTAAAAAAAATAATTCTATAAAGGATTCCAGATATCAAAAGGACTGCTAAGGATTTTATGGCAAGAAAAATCATCTAGGAATCATGGATGAATAAATGGCCCATGATGGCACCTAAAGACATCAGAATTCCATGGGGAAAGCAAAGGAAGCACGTGTACCAGGAACAGATAGGCAGGGGGAGAGCCACAGAGAACAGTGTCTCTTAAGCAAAGACAGGACAGACTTGCAAGACAAAGATGCTCCTTCTGGACACACTGCGTGGGTACCCAGCCTCTAGGGTCAGGTGCAGTCTGCTGTGTACCAAGCGTGGCAGAAGCCTAAAGAAAGCAAGAGAACACATCCACGTGGGCTGCAGAGACTGAGCTTCAGTGCATCCAGGACTGGGCCGGGAGGAATGGTCTAAACTTAAAATCAACGGGCAGGAGCCCAGGAAGACCAGCCAGTGTAGAAAAATGACCGTCAGAATACATAGCTTATCCAGTGCCTCTAGTCTTGGCTCAGTCTGAAAAGAAGCAGCAATGAGCATAATAAGATGAGACATACTGAAATGTGCATTCAAGCTCTCGGTGCTTATTGTCCATGATTAGTAGCAGCAGAAAAGGGATATGAGGGGCTTCTAGGGCTCCTAAGGTTATTTTATCTGCCCCTTGACTCTTCAGCTAATGAATCCACCAAGCTGTACATTCACATACATATTCTGTACTTGAACATATATATTTGAATTAAGAACATAAAAGGAATTTAAAGAAGTCCAAAGTTTGGAGTCATACTAACTGGAATGAAACCTCTTCACTACCTTATAATTTGAGACAAATTAAAGAATTTCCATTCTACATTACAAGTTTTTCTGTGAATATAAAAATAGCATCATATGTGTAAACACCTAATTGTATGGTGCATTCTGCCTGTGTAGTACCTGCTACAAAGAAATTATGTCATGTAAAGACTGAAGTCCGTTGACTTTTGCATTTTGAGTGACTGCAGCAGTGAGCTGTTGCACTGGAGCGGGGGCAGAAAGGGGGAACCGCAGCGGGTTGAAGTGCACATGGTCGATGAGGAGGGGAGGGCATGAGAGTAGCAAGAAGTTTATCTCTGAAAGAAGAGAAAGAATGTAATGACAGTGGTTTTTGTTTTTTTTTTTTTTTTTCACTTTTTGTCTTTGTTCTAGAAAAGCGAGATATACATGAGAAAGCTTAGCTGAGTCTTGAACTAGAGAATTAATGTATACAAGATGGTATATTTTCCTTCATAGATGACTACCATAGTGTAAATCTGGGAAAGAGATGGATATTCTACTGGGGGTGGGGGGTGGGGATAGCAGCAAAAGGACACAGAGACTGAAATTGGTAGATAGAGATGCAAGCAGCAGTGTTCAAGCCTGCACCTGAAGTTTAAAGACAGATTAACACTAACAAATTTGGGGGCTGGCAAGATAGATAAGCATACTAAGAGCCTGCTTAGGCAAGTGCAGGGACCAGCGTTCGACCCCCAGGACTCCATGCTGCACTGGCCCTGCCCCCAGGTGCGCTGAGTCGGTGACAGAGTCTGGGCGTGATGGTGCACACCTGTAATCCCAGCGCTGGGGAGGCTGAAAACGGAAGGATCACTATAAGTACGAGCTACATAGTGAGACGCTGTACAAAATACATAAATTTTTAAAAATGGGGGAAGGAGATGTAGAAAATTAAGAACTCAATGCCGTTTAAAAAGCTAATCAGTTGTATACCTGAATATTAAAAGGTTCAGAGCTCCATATAGCTCTTTAGGATTGCAAGGATTCAGAACCATTACACAATACAATGGTCATGGATGTGAGTGCTAGAAATAGATAGAAGAAAAAGGAGCCTGTCCCTCTCTCATGGGAGGAGGAATTTAGTCCATTTGCTACAGTCCTTGGCAATTGTAAGGTAATGACTGTGAGGTGGTACGTGATAGCATCTTCTGAGAAGAACTCCCACAATTTTCTTCAATCAACCCTCCTGATTATACTGTGAGGGCCCTTCATTTTCTTGAACACTGTTAATTCACTTTTCAGTACTCTTTTGCTTTGAGTCATACTAATTCCTTTTAATCTAGTTCAAGGTTTTCTTTCCTGGTTTTGGACGTAGTGGGTTTTATAAGTAACCAAAAGCATCATTCGGTATACAAAATCCATTTCATCTCATTTGATCATGAATGTAGATGGGGAACAACTGATTACGATAACCAGTGAGGGTCATCCATTTTCATGAAAGCTGTTAATTCACTCTTTGAATACTCTCTTCCTTTGAGTCATTCTAATTCCTTTTATGCTAGTGTACAACTTTCTTCCTGCTTAACATTTTCCAGTTATCTAGGTTCTGCATTTTGTACTACTAGTCCAAAATAGGACTCAGTCAAAGATCTTGACATTGTTTTTGGTTTTGGTCTCTTATAGTCTATTTCTTTATGTCTTTTCGCAGATTAAAGTTTGGAGGAAACATAAAGTATTATGATATTATCTACAAATAATTTTAAGCATGTTTGACTTTATGGACACCTTGTTATTTCATTTTTTACTTTGACTTCACAGAATGTTTTTCTCTACAAGTTTGTTATACATAATGACCCATCTATTTTCTTTTCTTT